GTGGGGGTGTAGGGGGCATAGGGGGTGGGTATAGGGGGGTGTATAGGGAGTGTGTGTGTGTAGGGGGTATAGTGGGGTGTGTGTGGCGCGGGGTTTATGGGGCGTGGGTGTAGGGAGTGTGATGCTTCTCCGGTGACACTTCCCCCTTGGGGTCGTTTGCTCCTGCAGCAGCCCACCCCCGGCCGGCTTCCCCCTTGCGGGCCCCGCTCGGCGGAGCCAGGAGCGCGAGCTTGGCAGAGACTGTGCCCGCTGGAGGCGCGCGGAACGAGCGGCTGGCACTGACTTGCACGCCGGATTGGAACGCCAACTCGCACTGTCACAGCGACTGCCCAATCACCCGCCGCCAGCCCCCCCAACAGCCAATGACAGTTGACTCGCGACCGGCCTATGGGGGGAGCGTTCCAAGCCATCAGCCAATCCGCGCCTGCGGTGCGAAGCCAACCCCATACAATGTTGCAATGCGGCTTCCGGCGCCCGAGCTGCTGGGAGGAGCTGCTGACCCGGGGGTGGGTAGGGGGCTGCTGGGCCGAGGCGGCCGGTGGGATGTCTCGCTTCTTCCAGGCCCTTTGCAGTAAGCTCGGAGGGCGGGCAGGCGGCGTGCCCGTGAAGGAGGAGGACTTGTGCCACTGGGGCCTGGCAGGTCAGTGCGGGCGGTGGGGCCCGCCCCGGAGGAGGTGTTGCCTGTTTCCGGGCTTAACATGGATGGAAGAATGTGGCTTGGGCTAGATCCGCCAGGGGCTTGCCGCCCAGGCCCCGTGGCTTTAGGGTTGAACAGTATCGAGGTCCTCGCCTTGGGGTGCTGCACTGAATCGTCCCTCTTTGACAGTCCTGCCTTGAGCAGGTGCCTGGACCAGATGACCTCTTGAGGTCCCTTCCAGCCCTGCTCTCCTACATAACTGTAATGCACCTTGTGGGCCAGGTTCTGCTGTCAGGTAGTGGGTGGAGCTCCAAAGTAAAACTTCATTCCTTCAGTGGAGCTTCATCAGCCACACGAGATGGCCTGTAACCTCCCTGCGGTTGCTTAGCCTGCGTGGAACAGGGAGCAGAGGTTGTTTCTGTGGAGGTCCTTTGGAGCTGAGCTGCTGTAAGTGGGTCTGTTTAAAGGGAGACCTGAAACGAAAGAGGTGTCCAAAATAAACTTATCTGCTGACCGTCCTTGTAAGCTTGATGTGAAGAAGGATGGGCTTCCCCAACCTGGGAGAAGGAAGAGGGTCTTGTTTTTCTTAACGAAAGGAGAAAAAAAATACGTGCACACACACTGTCACCACTGCAAGGAGCTGGGGCAGAGCAGCGATCTGCTCCGCTGCCTGGAGCATACAGGCTGCAGACTGTGACTGCCCCAGCTCCGGACTACACTGTCACGGCTGCAAGATCCCAGCCCGACTCCACAGCTTGCCATTCGCCCTGCCAGCACTGCTGGGGTGGATCTCCATGAAAACCCTTGCCCCATGCTATCACAGTGTGGCCACTGGGGTTCCCATGGAAACCAGCCCCAGCCAGTAGGCAGGGGCTGCTGGGAAATGAAGTCCAGCCATTGGCCAGATCCACCATTTTGCCCATGCCTGGTATACATAGAATGACAATTGCTTCTGCTGCTTGACTTTACTGCAGCCAGCTGTTGAGGAGATCAGTGCAGGGGGGTTCTGGGGCCCTGCACCTCTGGCTTCTGACAGGCAAAACTCGTGACATGGGTGCTTGTGCAACTGCCACCCCTGCAGTTTTCACCCTACTGTGGTGTAACACATAATGTGACTTGAGTTTTGCTTTCAACAATTTGGGGTACGGTTCCCCCCAAACCCCTACACCTATCTCCTTAAAACTTGGCAGACATCATGGCCTCAGCAGGGGCTACCACCGCTGCAAGTTTCCTCTAAATCAGACAAAAAACAAAGTCATAGATATTTCATTGATTCCCCATTATACTGTATGGCCAGATCTCCAAGGCAGCTCCAAAGCTTCGAACAGATCAAAGTGGGAACCCGGTCCGGAGCTCCAGATCAGATCCCTGGCATCTGAAGCGGCCGGATCTGAAGCCGAATCGAATAGCTGCCTACTCACACAGGCCTAGTGACTACTAGCTAAGTTGGGTTTCTCTGCTTTGCACTATGGTGATGACATAACCCTCAGTAATTTTTGCCCTATATTTCATAGGGAGCATTTCACAGAATTCGGAATATGTCTTCCACCTCCCAGTCTTGTGCCTTAACCACAGTAACATCCTTTATCCTTGAAGTAGATGTACAGTTTGTAATAAAATCACCTCCAGTTTTTTAACAGAAGGCTTTTACTCCATCCCCTTCTGAGAGAGAGAAATTCTGAACTTTGCAGCATGCTGAGGAGGGGTAAAGCTGTGTTCTGACAGCATGAGGGCGCACGGCCCTCCAAGGAAGGGGATCATCAAGGAAGATGACACCCAAGCAATTTCCTTTTGTTTGATTTCTAGGAGGTTGTGGAACTGATGCCTTTACACACCTCACCCACAGCAGTCCAGCATGCCAGGGAGGCAAGTTCCAAATCATTAAGGGCTTTCAAAGTTAAAATTGACACTTTTTGTTCAGCCTGGAAACTTATTGACAAACAATGCATATTGTGAAGCACCTGTAAAATAGTTTTTTGGCATGAAAGCTGACTTGGTAGGTAGACCTAATCTGCCCTGTGTTTCTACATCTGCAGGGTTACAGGATGCAGTGCCAAGTAGGTTGTATGACAGTTTTATGTAGCTTTACCAAGTCACTTTTGTGTTTTAGGTATTCAGCTACGTTCCTACCAAGTAGACGGGGTGAACTGGCTAGTACGATGCCATGAACGTCAACATGGCTGCATCCTGGGCGATGAGATGGGTCTTGGAAAGACTTGTCAGGTGCCTCTTTTCATTTCTCCGTCGACAATCAATTTTGACTATTTTTTGTCTTCCCAGTGTTTCTGCAAGACGTAGGAGAGGAATTCCTTAAAGTCTATTTAGATTAGGATCAAATATTGATGTCCTTGAGAAGAAAAAGGCCTACATCTTGATTCCTTCTGCTCTTGTTCTGTTAAAACACTTTTGTTTTTTAAAATAAAACGCAAAATGATATTCTTAGGGAGAAGACTGTTTTGAAGCTCCTGCTGAGCTGGCAAAACAACTTGCTATGAATATGATATGATAAGACGTTGCTTTCGTGACTGTCTGGGTAGATCATTTTACAAAGTTCAGTTCTCAGAGCAGAGATGGTTAGATTTTTATAGCTGTTTCATAGTCTTTTTTTTCCATTGTCAAAATAATCATTCCACTTCTGTTAAGAATTTGGCAAAGCGAGCCTGGCATGTTTCTTCAACTGATAGTATTCCCTGAATTTTAAGTGATATGCAAATTACTCGTTTAAAATTAGGGTATAGTACATTGCATTCTTTCAACATTACAAGGGAAAAACATTTCTGAGTAGGGGACAGAGGGCTCCCAGGTTAGTGATAGAATTGGACTGCAGCTGCAGTGTATTTGATAGACTCTTTTGCATAGTTTGCAGTGCTTATGGTCAGGGTTTTGCCATAGTGAACCTGTCAGGAACCAGCAGCAAAGATGGTGTTGGAGGGAAGGTTTGTATTTAGATTGTGGGGTTTGGTTTGGAACTGCTTATTATTGACAGCAACTCTTTTCTTTGTGTTCCAGACCATTTCTCTGCTTGTGTATTTGGCTGGAAACTTCATAAACAAAGGGCCATTTCTTATTCTTTGTCCTCTTTCTGTACTGAGCAACTGGAAGGAGGAACTGAAGAGGTGAGCCTTAGGATTACGATGCAGACGTTTGCTGTCATATCAGTGAGTTGCAACAATCCACTTAGCATATGCTTACACCTCTTATGGTTTTTTAAAATTAAAGGGAAGACACTGAAACATCAAGTTTGTGGCACAGAAGGGCACAGTTCACAGCTAATGCATGGTTTTCTGTGTAACCTTGTGTATGGGATGTCCCCTGTGGTAGGGTGCATAGTACTGGGTGACTCCTGGCACAGCTGCCGCCTACTTCTCCTGGCTTTTATTGTTAATTGTAACCTCAGTGCTCTGGGGCAAAGGGCAAGGTCCAAATTAAGCCTGCCCACACACAAGTATATTTACTGTGTGTGCACAGATTGGGCAAGCAGAACACCATTACATCTGTGTGTGTAAGGCAGACATATGTGCACTTGATCAGTTGATGGTGTAGCTATTATTCATGGGCTTTAAAACTGTGAGTGTTCGAAGAAGAAGAAAAAAACTGCTTTTGAGTTGTGGGAATTTGCTGTCTCTCAGGAGGATGTGATACAACCGATCAGGCCATGAAGTGAACTGCTGTAAATCAACAACAATTTACTTATTGTAAGGCATGGCTCAGGGAATATACATTGCCATCTACATGAGAAGGATATTCAGAGATTTATGGTGGGGTGAGGAAGTAAGAGAGAACTCCATTGCGATGACTTCGCTCTCTTTCACAGTACTCCTTCCCTCTCCATCCTATAAAGATTATGAGGGCAGTTCTGTCTTGTGCAGAGGCAGAAAAAACTGGGAAGGATATCCAGCATCTTTTTTCACTGAAGGATTGTGTTGGTCCTCCTGGAATGTTATGTTGCGGAAAGAATTTCTGTTGATGTTAGTGGGAGCCTTGCCTGGGTGAAGAGCTCTGGACTGGGTTCTGTGACCATGACTTCAGTGGGAGCTGTGGGTAATTAGCATCTCAGGATCGTTCCCTGCAATGAGTGTTCTGGATAGATGTAGATTGCTGCTGGTGCCCAGGGGATCCCTACTGCCTTGTAAAAAGAGCTCTTGCTGGAGAAGAGGAGGTAAGTGTTGGGTCTGGTGTTGGCTGGATTTCAAGGTTCAGACTGGAAGCCATATCCAGAATGACGTTCAGATTTGACAGCACTGTTATCTTGCTGCCTTCTTGTGACGTCTTCCAGTAAAAGTAGTGGACATCCCATGACAATGGCTGCAGTTCTGCCATGTCCCATCTTGGATGGTAAGGCCTATGAGAATGCTGCCAATTTCATGAGCTTCTGCAGTCCTCCATGCAACAGCCAGAAAAACAGTATATAACCGGAGTCCAAACCCATCAGGGCAGGATTAGAAACGGGGACTTGGATTCAACAGCTTTTCCAGCACCATGATTTGGATAAGAGGTTCCCACCTGGGTCCTCTTTTGGTTTTTAAACTAGGTTTGATTGACAGGGTTTGAAGTTGACCACAAGCTTTTGGGGCCTGGAAGGCTCAGCCCAGCTCATTCATTTGTTTTGGTTTTTTTTAATGGGAACAGGTTTGCTCCAGGTCTCTCCTTTGTGACATATGTGGGTGACAAGGAGGAAAGAGCAGAGCTGCAGAGGGACCTGAAAGCACCATCTCACTTCCAGGTCCTACTGACAACATATGAGGTACCACTCCCCAGCATGAACTGCCTGCTCTCGGGACCGATCTCTGTTTCCAGCCAGGGAAATAATGTCTTTGTCTCCATTATGAATAGCTTGTTTCATCATTTCACATTGGCAGTTTGGTCTGTTTTTAAACAGTAAACGCATCCACTTGAGTCCAGTTGTGGTGAAAAGTCTCTCAGCTCTCTCTGTTCAGTTTGTCGGTCCTTTCCTCCTTGTTTCTGCCTTCCTTTTTCCTTGTTCTGGGGTGTCTTTTGTTTTCTTCACACCTCAGTCTTGTTTGTCCCTTCCCCTTCACACCCCCTTCACACCTGCTTTTTCTCTCCCCCACCTTGTTCCTCCCCAGTCATGGTTATGCACTGTGAGTACTTGGTATGAGAAGGCTGAAGGGGCTTTCACACTGGAGTGAGCTCAAGGAAACACAGCTTGTAGAAAGAAATAGATCTGGCTTGCATTTTTCCTTTCCCTTTGCTGGCACAGCAAGGACACTGTGTTTTGGAGAAGGACTTTTTCCTTACACAGCCCAAAGTCTTCTCCATTTTGAACCTGCAGGCGAGCAGGCTGCATTTGCATACTTGTGACATCAGCAAAGAATCCTGACACCGCACATTCATTGTGATAATTTATTTTGATGGCGGGGGGACGAGGAGAAATGGGATGTGGCAGGGATATTGAAAACTTTTGATTCTCAAATATGAGAAAAACCATCATAGGAAAACATAACAAAGGTGAAGAGACTGAGACAAATGTTTTTCCCAATGTAAAAATCTTTCTTTAACATTGCTGGTTTTTTTAAATTGTATTTCAGATAAAACTACAGCTTGGGTAACTTGTGGTTGTTCGAGAATCTCCATGACATTGTCCATAAGAATAGGGTCGGGTTCAGCTACACTAATTACTTTCCATCTCCTAAATTCTTTCTACATTTTTGATTCCCACCCACTAACTGTCATGCTCCTCTCAAGAGGCAGCTGTTGTTTAAAGGGCTGGTGAAGTGATCCCTCTTCGGTTTATCTACCACTTCTCAATGCAGAAAATCCCAAAGAGCTTTGCTAACATAACTGACAGGTCATCTCACTTTGTTTGCAGATTTGCCTGAAAGATGCAACATTTCTAAAGTGGTGAGTTTACTTTTTAAATTATTCAGATTTGTTCAGTGAGCCTGTCATCCTTTTCCTTGGGGTGCTTTCCTTTCAGACACTGTCTATTTTACACGAGCTGTGGCTACTCTTCAGTGATCACATCTACACAAGATGCTGAATGCACCGAAAACTAATTCTACTGCACATTAGCACAGCAGGCAAAACCCATGTTAATGTGGAGTAGATTTAGTCAAATGCATGTTAACATAACTAAAAAAGTGTTCATGTGCACTCATGTGCAGTAGCGCTGATTACAGCACATTAACTTAATACCTGTTATTACAAGTATAAACTTAATGGACCATAATTATGACACATTAATGAACCTGTAGATGCACCTACTGGGCATGTCTATGCAAGATGCTACTGCGCAGTAGCTTGTTACTGCACAGTAGCATTGGCAGGCACTAACCATGATGCACTGCTACTGTGCAGTAGCATCTGAAAAAAAATGTATGGGGACAGTACTGTGTAGTAACTGTGAAGTCTGCTGTTTGTGTAGATGTGGCCAGTGAGTATCAGGACTTTGTTCCTGATCTATTTCAGTTAAAAAAAAAATCTTTTCATTTTCAAGAGCGCTTCTGTGTTCTTCCAGCTTTCCTTGAATGAAACGGATGGTTTTCTAGCAGGGGCATAGAAATGTATTGTGTGCTTATCTTACATAACTGGCATGCAGTCAGGGAGTGTGTTCCATATTCAAGTCATCTCATCCAGGGAGTCATCATCATTAATGCCAACAGAACAGAGTACACAGAAGCCCAAAGTGTCACATTCTGGTCCATGTAGATCCACCATGTGGGTGGCTTAGGTTATAAGTATGAAACTGAGAAACCTGAACTATCTCCTCCTGTGATGATCACTACAACCTCCTAACCTAAATTGTATTGCATGACATTGGCAGCCTGGAGGCTTGGAAGCAGTAACTCACTTTCTGACAGAATCTGTATTGTGTTTAGTGTTACGAGTTAGTGGCAGTTATTCATATTATGATCAGAGAATTTAAAGCTGCACTTAAAACAAGAAGAGATTTCAATGTCTTGTAATAAGGCTTACAATAATAATGCCTTTAGTTATAAGTTCTGGAGACAGTCAAATCTAGTGAGAGCTTCAGGAGTCAATCCCACAGGAGTCAAAGAACAAATTCCTTCTCTACCCTTTATACCTCAGTTCACAACTAGTCATCTGTGTTACAGGGTTTGATAAAAAATGGGGCATGGTAAGCATGTTATTTTTGTCCAAAAAATTCAGTCTGGATGTATAACCAGGGAGAATTTTGGCACTGGATTTATGACCCAGATACCTTGTTCCAGGTGGACCCAAACCCTCAGACTGACCACAACCTTTCTATTTGATAATAGGCCAATTTTATTGATACATAATGATAGCGGGTAAGAATAATACAAGCAGTTCTATAGCTACCAATCTTAGGGCTATCATCAGTCAAGGTATTTCTGGCCAGGACGCGAGCTTTACTCTGAGGTTCTCTCTTGAATGTCAGATGTCAGCAGCCTGGAGGTTGGAGGCCGAGGCCACCCCTCCCCAGCCCCCGGGTTGGATGAGACAGGTTGATGGTATGCCCTCTGTCCATGGTGCCTTGGATTCCCCTCTCAGAGACCCTTTGTTGCCCTGAAATCCCTTCTTTTGTATTCTTTTTTCCCTCCTGGTGACTCTTCATCTGTGGGCATCACTGATAGGTCTTTCTATGGTCATCATACTGTCAATGTTCTGTCCTGTCAGCATATTCCTTTGTTTCACAAGCCCATCACATGCACACATCTAATTTGGGATTTACTGGTGTCCTCCTAATTTGGTCTGTTTCCAAAACCAGAGAGCTCAAGGGCTTTGGACTTGAGCAGTGTGAGCTGGAGCCACCTTATCTCATGTTATGGAACAGTGTGGTACATGCCTACAATTTCCCAGCCTGTGTGTCTGCCTTGAAGGCTGTAAGCCTGTGCGACAACCAGACTTTTAAAAATCAATTAACCCTTTACCCTTGCCCTGAACCATTGTTCTAATGCATATCTACTTTACCTTTAGGCCAATTCCCAAAAGTAAGCCTCTAAATACCATTTTCTAGCCATCACATTTCACCTCAAAAGTCGAATGCTTCAGAGAGTTTTGAGTGTTAGAAAAGAGGAGATGAGAATGGAAAACTTTTTACAACCTTGCATGCAGAGATTATTTGAAGGCATCCAGTATAAGTACAGGAAAGTGTGCACTAGAGTGGCAAACTGTAGATGAAATTCTTATTCCACACCCCTTCTTGCAGCTTGGATTTTGGTTTTCAGTCCAGGGCTGTTTTCAGCACAGATAGAGAGAGGGGTCACAGACAGTGCCCTTTGTATCTTGGCCAGAATTGCTTGTTTGAGTTTAATTGAGAGCTCTGTTTTCTGTTTGGTTTTTTTTACAGCTTTAATTGGGCTGCTCTAGTTGTGGATGAAGCACACAGACTGAAAAACCAGAACTCCCTGCTGCATAAGACACTTTCTGAGGTGAACAAATTCATCAGTGTTGAATAATTTCATGGATTTTTCTTGCTTTTCAAGGAAATAAGATTAGAATTGATCTTTCCACTATCCCTCAGTGTATATGTCAGTCTTTTGGCCTGATCCAGTCCCCAGCCAAGACAGTGGACAGACTTCCCTTGTCTTTCATGACAGATGGCTTGGAGCTTTCTGTTCATGTGGTGAAAGGGGACCCTCTGTCTAGAATTTGTGCCACATTCTGATTAATATTAGTGCTTTGGAGGTTTGAGCAATTTGAGAGAGAGACTTTAAACAATGCAAGACTCAATCACATCCCTATGGCGTCTGTGACGTGAGCATGTTTCTGACTAACTCAAGAAGATACCATTTCTTTTTAAATGCCTTTTTTTACTTCAGGCTTCACAAATAAAGTCAGCTACCAGATGGTAAGTGGAGTTGGCAGCAAAAAGTACGGATGGAGACAAACAGCTTAAAGTAGTGGAAGAACAGGTTAGGGATTTCTTAGAGATACTAGAGGCTTTCAGATTGCAAGGGCAGATGGGATATGGCCTAGGGTACTAAAGGAAATGGTTGAGGTAATTTCAGAGCCACTGGCTATCTTTTTTGAGGATTTGTATAGGTTGGGTGAGGTTCCAGATCATTGGAAAAAGGCAAATATATAAAGCCCATGCTTAAGAAGGACAAGAAGGAGGATCTGGGGAACTACAGACCAGTCAGCCTGATCTTGATACCAGGAAAGATCATGGAGCAGGTCTTCAAGGAATCTGTTGGGAAGCCTCTAGAGGAGAACTAAGTGATTAGGAACAGCCAGCATGAATTCGCCAAGGACAAATCATACCTGACTAACTTGATTTTTTTATGATACGGTGACAAGCTGTGTGGATGGGACAAAAGCAGTGCATGTGATACTAGGACTTTAACAAGGTTTTGTACAGATTTTCTGCCAGTGTATTACTTCCAGGAACCACTGTCTTCTGTTGGTGATTCATATAGTTCCACAGGTGCAAGGCATAGGAGTCACTGAAATAGGAGTCACTGAAATAGGAGTCACTGAAGTTGGTGTGTTTGTCCCAGACCTCAT